ATTTCTTTTGATAAATATTTCCAAAACATCGTGTTTGTTCATAAAACATTTAAAAAAAAATATTCTCGCATGAAAATGCACTTGCAGAGACACAATTATGAAGAAAAATGCCATTTTCCTCAAACACACGTGCGAAACACGAGCGCGTACTTTTGCAGGACTAACCGTGTAAATATTTGTTTATATTTTGCTCTAGTTTTGCTGAATTTGAATTGACCCTATCTATGAACAGGACGTTAAGCAATATTAACTAATCTCATTAGTCTTGCGACCGATGAAAAATATATCAACTATTATTTAACATCTAACACTAAAAGAGACGTTAGCAAAGAAAAGTAATGGGCAGAAAACTACATACAGATCGTGATGGCAATATTTTGACCTTACGATGGGTTACACTTGCAAGAACAGATGTACCCTTAAATGTTACCGAATAACAATACTGAGTAGAGTATGACAGTCTATGCAAATTGAAGAGACATGGATTTTTTTCTCATAAAATGGGCGTTTTGTTTCCGAATGTGTCTGATATCTCTGTTACATTCTGGATAGGTTTCTCAAATAGCTGCTTCACATACCAGTTATTTCAAAGTATGAAAAAGGGCTACCGTGCCGTGCAGTCACGTGGTCTATTCACTATGTACTATTCAATTTGTTGGATCAATTATGGTAAGGTCTTCTCCCCCTTCTGCCTGGTAAGTCAGAAACCAATTTAAATGATTTACTTTTTCATAATGAAAAAAATTGAATATACAATGTCTTTTTTAATTACAAATACCTCTATTTTTGCTCATTGGAGGCTATGTTGCTAGGCCGTTTAGTTATAATCAAGTCGAAACGTCCCTGGACAAAGTTAATGAAATTTATAGATATTTAAGCACTGCGATCGTGATGATATCCAACTTCAAGATTTAAAAACAACAATTTGTACCAAGTAACTAGATCATTTTACACAAATTGGCTTTATAGATCATTAGCTGGGAGAGATATTTAATATTTATCAATCACATATAAATACATTGTGCTTAGCTGCCTCTCTCAGATATCTGTTCAATTTATATGTTTTTTTTTCATTTCTATGATCTTAGAAACATGTCTCTGAAGAGCCAGATGCTGCTTATTCAGTATCTGTCTGTCTATCCTCCTTCTGTCTGTCTGTCTGTATCTTCTATGTAGCAACAATAAGGTATTATGAAATAACCGAATTTTAAATGTATTCCATTTCCAATATTTGCTCCCAACCCCATTGCCAGACAGCCAACATTTTACACCCAAAGTTGTTTCAGACCAAATTGGGACAGAATCAAGGGATTCCTAGTAAAAAAGAAAGGCTGTTAAGATTTGGTCTAACTTACATATTGGTCCCCATCCCTCTTGTCTCAAAGGTTCGAGACCAATAATTTATGCAGAATTGAAATGAATTCTAAAAACAAATGTGGGGAATACAGAAAATAGACACTATGGTGGAATTTTGTGATGATATTGGGTAACTGGCTAAAAGGAGACAATTACAATATCCCAGAATAAAGAATATTAAACACATAGAGTTTCTTCAATCATTTTCATTGTACAACAAAAATGACATTACAAGACATTCATGCAAAAAAAATTTTGTTCAACATTCAATAAAAATCATGATGTTTCCACATTGATGCAAACCTGTAACAGTGCATGACAAAGCTAAATTTAGATATCAGTGTCTTTGCTAAACCAGATCTTTTATAAAACATGGCACATTTTTTTTACAGCTGACAAGATGACTTTATACATACGGCTGTACAAATATTGTTTATAATAACCCTTTCCATAGCTGTGTTATATCATGTTTTGTTCCACATCTATTCATTATAAATATCCAGTGTGCGATACAGTAATGTCAATATGTCTTCCAATGATGTATGTTTCATATGCAACATCCAAGTACTACATTCATATACTGAGATCTCTGCCAATATTACATGTATAACAATTACATACATGTAAAAAAAATTAATAGTTGTTAGTTGTAAGTCAAACGGTTTTAATTGATTTTATTGAAACTGAAACACTTATTGTTAATATTAATACGCTGTCACAGTCTTCATCATCATCTTCCATGATAGAATTATAAAAAGAATAATGCAATTTGGAATATTTCTTTTTATAAAAAAAAAAAATCCTTAAAAGTAACTTTTAAATTATTAATAAACCATGCTTGTTAAGTAGGTTTATTTTCTGTAACATAGAAATCATGATTGTTATATTTATCACCTTAATAATCGGTTGCAAGGTAAGTCTTCAATTTTTATCTTATTAAAACTATCCAAATTCACCAAAAGCATTAACGATTTTATCAACCAGGTGCAGGAATGGTTTAATTTTTTTTTTTTTTTTTTTAGAATTTTAAAAGACAATTTCCTAAATGTGAACGTTTCTGACTCAAAAAATGACTGAGTTTGAATTAAGTCAATATATTAAAACATATATTATTGCATCAATATTTAGTCAAATACCATAATAAAGTATGAAAATATATGTCAACAATTAAACTGCAAGGAAATAATACAAAAATTCACAACCAATTTTCAGGCTTGAATGACTGTAATGACAGATCTACGTGAACTACAGAGGAACCTTGTGGTTTGTTCTGTCAACAAGGCTCTGGAGTGATTGATTTTATCAATGGTTGCTAAAATGACTGACGGACACTAATAAAATTTATGTATATATACATACAAGATAGGGTCCATTTTGTGGCAGAGTTGGAGGGACTGTTAAATTTGATATCTGAAAGGTTACAAAAGTATGACAATGGACGGAGAGAAAATATACACAATGCAGTTTTAAAAAGTACAAAAATATTTCACATCAGTATTTCACATCAGTATTTCACATCAGTATTTCATTTCAATTCCCAACCCCCGCCCACTTTCATATCTTATTTATTCTCTTTCTTATCTGTTTGTTAAATACAATAATCAATAAATACATTTTATATCTAAATACATCAATGACAAAGAAAATACAAAATTCAATAAATACACTTCACATTAAAATACATTGATGGCAAATACATGGAATAATAAACACATTTCATAATTTTAAAAACATCAAGATCACTGAATCAGAAAATAATCAAAAATGTTTACATGATGTAAGGTTACTTTGAAAATAGTTTTATTTTTATTATAATGTGATGAAATGAAATTGAAAAAAAGGGGTTTTTTTTTGGTGGGAATGGAATTACAAGTATGACTTTAATTACATGTGTTAATATCCGTCATGCACATTAGAGTTGTCTCCCTTGAAGGGCCAACACCACAACTTCTAATTATTGTCATTTTAACTATGCCAATTCAAGGACTTTTAGTAGGGATAAATATTGTTAAATATAAGCTATATATGAGTCATTATTTCACTATTCATGGAATTTGTTTTTACTGGGTTTCATGGTTTTTTTTAAACAGCCAATGTCATACAAGGACAGAATAGATATTCATAATTTTGTAAAAAAAAAAAAAAAAGAGCATTCAACGGTTCTAAGATTGCTTAAGCATTTGATAGGTCTTTCTTGAAATATCGTTTTAAAATATGAACAATGCAATCTCAATCTGAATAAAAAAAGACTGAATGTACAATGAAGTGCCAAAAAAAAATTTAAAAAAAAAATTTTTAGTGGCCAAAAGACGCCATGTGATATGTTAATAATATACTTAAAAAAAGAAAAAAACAGGTCAATCTCATTCGAATGTATTCAGTGGTCACTCTCATACTAAAGAAATCTGTAGTCACTCAAGATCTCACACTAAATTCAGTGGTCATTTTCACCATAAGGAATCTAGTGGTCTCTCTCACACTAAAGAATTCAGTGGTCACTCTCATACTAAAGAATTTTGTGGTCATTCTAGATCTCACACTAAATTCAGTGGTCACTCTCCCACTAAAGAATTCAGTAATAACTCTCATACTAAAGAATTCTGTGGTCACTCTCATACATACGAATTCAGTGGTCATTCTCACAATAAAGAATTCTGTGGTCACTCTCCTACTAAAGAATTCTGTGGTCATTCTCCTACTAAAGGATCTAGTGGTCACTCTCCTACTAAAGAATCTAGTGGTCACTCTCCTACTAAAGAATCTAGTGGTCACTCTCCTACTAAAGAATCTAGTGGTCACTCTCCTACTAAAGAATCTAGTGGTCACTCTCCTACTAAAGAATGCAGTAATAACTCTCATTATAAAGAATTCTGTGGTCACTCTCATACATACGAATTCAGTGGTCATTCTCACAATAAAGAATTCTGTGGTCACTCTCATAATAAAGAATTCAGTGGTCATTCTTACACTAAAGAATTCAGTGGTCACTTTTACATTAAATAATTGAAAAATTTGGTAATCTATAACATACATTCCAGTTAGGAAATATGTACACTTTAATAAAATGCATGCGCAATGTACAAAACTTGTGTATATTACCACAACATTTGCTCTGGAACCTTGTTACACATTTAGCTATTTTAAGCTGAGTCCTGTAAAATTTTGTCACCAATCAAAGCGGTGTCTAGTTAGGTAAACTAACAAATAAGGCCTACATTACTCAAGAAATCAGAGCCACCCTACTCATATCATCAAAAAAGGTAGAAGTTGGAAGTTAGGTACCTTGTCAAGCACAACATGAGTTGATATCAGATGGAACTACATGCAAATGCAACAAGCAGGCTTTAAGTCTTGTACCTTAATTTGTATCAAACCAGAGTGAACTACCTACTACAACTAGGGTCCTTCTTGATGTAGCAGGTCTCACTCATCCAATCAAATCAATCTTCCACATAAGTCATATCTACTGCACTAATCCCATCAAACCAGATATCTACCCTCTGGTAGATTAAACATAACTGGATGATATTCCAATTCTACAAATTTGTCCAACAACATCTCTTTCCATCTAGATTGAAAAAGAACATTATTCCTTTTCTAGGAACTAATGAAAAACAAACATGTTTCCTTTTCAACTGCTCAGTAATATGAAAAATCTAAATAGCATAAAGCATTCAATATCCTTATACAATCTTCTCCGTACAATTCCAGTTGAAACATTCATCAATTTCTATGCAGAATGCTTTAAAGTTCATCACATTGTCAGTTGCATTTCTGCAAAGTTGTAGAAATCTTCAATTTGTTTGTCCGCCAGTGCCTTGGACTGGCTGATAAAAACCAGTCCTGTGGTACCCTTCATAAACTCTACAAGTTCTATCTGACATAGGTTTATACAGTCATCACCATTGTACTCCAGACCAATCACATGACCTATAACAAACAAAAGCAGTCAATCAAGTTATGTTTCAGCCAATCAAATAAAACAATACAAAATTCACCAAAAGTGTGATTAGATTACTTAAAAAAAAAAAATGTGGCAGAAATTTTGGGTTTTTTTTTAAGAACTCAAGAAATAAAGACAGACAAAACAGCCCAAACTATTGTGTCTTGCAAAATGTTTCCTGGAAAAAAGTTTTAAGTGTGTGTATGTGGAGGTAGGAAAGGGGTATGGGGGTAATCCCTACACTACAAATCAGCTGACACGTTTTTCAAACCATCTTTAATATTTCAATAATACAAGTGGAAAATGTCCAGTCTTTGAAAACAATTACGTTTTTTAGACAAAAGAATACATGATTCAAGTTTATCATGCCCATCATCTATTACCAAAAAATCAGAGCAGTCTGCAATATACTATCTAAAGAATTATTTCTGAAATGCCTGCAAGAATCCAAAAGATAAACATAGCAATCTCCATATATCAAATTAGTACATTTACTCAGAACATATGTAACAGTTCTACGGTCTATGGTCAGTAAAATAAAGTCAAGTTATGTAATACAGGTGTGTACTGGATTGTACACAACACTTATGTAATACAAGTGTGTATTGGACTGCCCATAACACTTATGTAATACAGGTGTCTATTGGACTGTACATAACACAGGTGTGTTTCGGACTGTATATAATACTTATGTAATACAGGTATGTATTGGACTGGACATAACACTTGTGTAATACAGGTGTGTATTGGACTGTGCATAACACCTATGTAATACAGGTGTGAATTGGACTGCACATAACACTTATGTAATACATGTGTGTATTGGACTGTACATAACACTTATGTAATACAGGTGTGTATTGGACTGTACATAACACCTATGTAATACAGGTGTGAATTGGACTGCACATAACACTTATGTAATACATGTGTGTATTGGACTGTACATAACACTTATGTAATACAGGTGTGTATTGGACTGTACATAACACTTATGTAATACAGGTGTGTATTGGACTGTACATAACACCTATGTAATACAGGTGTGTATTGGACTGCACATAACACTTATGTAATACAGGTGTTTATTGGACTGTACATAACACTTATGTAATACAGGTATGTATTGGACTGTGCATAACATCTATGTAATACAGGTGTGTATTGGACTGTACATAACACTTATGTAATACAGGTGTGTATTGGACTGTACATAACACTTATGTAATACAGGTGTGTATTGGACTGTACATAACACTTATGTAATACAGGTTTGTATTGGACTGTACATAACACCTATGTAATACATATGTAATACAGGTGTGTATTGGACTGTACATAAGACTTATGTAATACAGGTGTGTATTGGACTGTACATAACGCCTATGTAATACATATGTAATACAGGTGTGTATTGGACTGTACATAACACTTATGTAATACAGGTGTGTATTGGACTGTACATAACACCTATGTAATACAGGTGTGTATTGGACTGTACATAACACTTATGCAATACAGGTATGTATTGGACTGTGCATAACATCTATGTAATACAGGTGTGTATTGGACTGTACATAACACTTATGTAATACAGGTGTGTATTGGACTGTACATAACACTTATGTAATACAGGTGTGTATTGGACTGTACATAATACTTATGTAATACAGGTGTGTATTGGACTGTACATAACACCTATGTAATACATATGTAATACAGGTGTGTATTGGACTGTACATAACACTTATGTAATACAGGTATGTATTGGACTGTGCATAATACTTATGTTATACAGGTGTGTATTGGACTGTACATAACACTTATGTAATACAGGTGTTTATTGGACTGTACATAACACCTGTGTAATACAGGTGTGTATTGGACTGCACATAACACTTATGTAATACAGGTGTGTATTGGACTGTACATAACACCTATGTAATACATATGTAATACAGGTGTGTATTGGACTGTACATAATACTTATAAAGCACAGGTGTGTATTTGAGTGTATATAACACTTATGTAATACAGGTGTGTATTGGACTGAACATAACACTTATGTAATACAGGTGTGCATTGGACTGTACATAACACTTGTGTAATACAGGTGTGTATTGGACTGTGCATAACACTTATGTAATATAGTTGTTTAAATGAGAGTACAAGTATGACACTAACCCTGTTGTACGAGGGACTGGTAGGCATCTGTGCCAAACACACGCTGTGCATCTTGTGGCTGCATAGCCAACTCTTTGGTCTGTACTAACACACAGGTGGGCTAAAACAAAGATTTTACCAATATAAACACTCAGTAAAAATTACATAAGAGTTTCTGTCCATGCATAATACTATGATAAATCATATTGCAGACAATTTATCTAATTTCAACAACTTGTATCACTGGTTCCTTTACTTGTTACTTTGTACAACTTTTTGTCACTTTGAAGAAATTATTCAAATTTTTAAGTCTCTCTGAGATATGAAAATATCAGTTTATATATATATATATCCAGTAAGAAATATTTCTTTCTTATGTGTCTTTGTACCATCAATTGACCTTAATAATTAATTTCTGCTCATTAAAATGTCTCCTCAACATCAACTCCATAATATTTACAGGGTATAATGTCTACAATTATTTGATTCTATCAGTCTTCATGTGTATAGTAAAATAGAAGTTCTTACAAAACAACCAGAAGAAGCTTTCAGTGTGACATTTCGATAACTACACAGTCACTATCCTCAACAAGAGCATTCCAGCACTGATGTATGTAAATAGTATATGAGATGTTAAGGAATCGTTCAATTTTTTTTTGCTAGTACTATACTCCTAAGTACACTAAGGTCAAAAGTAGTGTGCGATGAGATGGCAAACAGATTATAGACCAAAAAATACACAAGATGGTTACAACGTACAGTAACACTTGGTCATAGATGTGCTTGGGTATGTGACTCCCTTCTACGTACATTACCAACCTGAAGGAAATGTTCCAATACAGTCTTCGCTGTCTGTTTACTGAAAGTGGCTACATGACCATATTGTCGTATTGCTCCATACATCAATCTGAAGTTTTCCTGATCTTTATTCTCTATGTTAAAAAATGTTGAATGATTTTTTTTGAGAAATCTGGTCTGATATCTATCTATTCAGGACTTAGAATTACCTGTTATTGTTGGATCGCTGTAGGTTTCACTAACTGATGGCTCTAATGACATTTTATGTATTGCTGGGCCATTAAGACTGTAAAAATTATATATAATAATACCTGTCTTTGCCTCATGGTACGTATGTATTTCATCGTTCTATCTACGGCACTGCCATCATTGAAGAATACCAATAAACAGGACTGAGAAGAAAATACAGAAACTTCTTTTAACAGAAATCATAAATTCAAACGTAATTTTATATGGAAATAAAAGTTTACACGTACAAGAATCAAGTTTTGTGAGAATCACATCAATGCATATAGATACTGTTACAGGACGATATGCTTATCATAAAAAATTTAACCCAACAAGACAAGAACATTCTTTGGAGGTCATCTTTCTTTTAAGATACATATCTCATTCTGGATTTTGTTTGCTGTCTACTAAATAAGCTACTTTTCAATTGTCTTCTACCAATTTAATATTTTTTTAACTTATGATATCTTAAATAATGCAAGGATATCTTTTAGAACATGTTGATAAAGTGTAGTACAGTTTTTTTATATCATTTTAACACCCAAATATAATATCAATCCAATATTTATTGCTCTCAAATGTTGAAATGTTGAACAAAAATCACAAGAATTTGAGACTCATACAGTTCAACTCAGTCTGATTCCAAACAAAATTAGAGACTCCTTATTTAGTTAGCTTTATATACAGGATTTCAGTCCCATACTCTGATGGTTGAGCCAATGTTAAGATGTAATTTCCAAGAACCTGATTTACACTGTACCTAAAAAAAGATTGAAATATTTCCCAAAGCCTCCTAGACCAGACAAGATTAAGATATCATTTTCCAAAACCTGAGAGACCAGACAAGATTAAGATATTATTTTCCAAAACCTGAGAGACCAGACAAGATTAAGATATTATTTTCCAAAACCTGATAGACCAGAAAGATTAAGATATTATTTTCCAAAACCTGAAAGACCAGACAAGACTAAGATATTATTTTCCAAAACCTGAGAGACCAGACAAGATTAAGATATTATTTTCCAAAACCTGATAGACCAGAAAGATTAAGATATCATTTTCCAAAACCTGAAAGACCAGACAAGACTAAGATATTATTTTCCAAAACCTGAGAGACCAGACAAGATTAAGATATTATTTTCCAAAACCTGAAAGACCAGACAAGATTAAGATATTATTTTCCAAAACCTGAGAGACCAGACAAGATTAAGATATTATTTTCCAAAACCTGAGAGACCAGACAAGATTAAGATATTATTTTCCAAAACCTGATAGACCAGAAAGATTAAGATATCATTTTCCAAAACCTGAGAGACCAGACAAGATTAAGATATCATTTTCCAAAACCTGAAAGACCAGACAAGATTAAGATATTATTTTCCAAAACCTGATAGACCAGAAAGATTAAGATATCATTTTCCAAAACCTGAAAGACCAGACAAGACTAAGATATTATTTTCCAAAACCTGAGAGACCAGAAAGATTAAGATATTATTTTCCAAAACCTGAAAGACCAGACAAGACTAAGATATTATTTTCCAAAACCTGAGAGACCAGACAAGATTAAGATATTATTTTCCAAAACCTGAAAGACCAGACAAGATTAAGATATTATTTTCCATAACCTGAGAGACCAGACAAGATTAAGATATTATTTTCCATAACCTGAGAGACCAGACAAGATTAAGATATTATTTTCCATAACCTGAGAGACCAGACAAGATTAAGTTATTATTTCTAAGAACCTGGTTGGCCAGACAAGATTAAGACATCACTTCCAAACATCTGATAGACCTGACAATATTAGATATTATTTTCCAAAACCTGAAAGACCAGACAAGATTAAGATAATATTTCCCCAAGCCTGATAGCCAAGAAAGATTAAGATATCATTTCCTAGAAGCTCATTGACCAGACAAGATTAAGATATTATTTCCCAGAGATTGATTGACCAGAAAAAATTAAGATATTATTTTCAAGAACCTGATAGACCTGACAATACTCTGATAATATTTCCCAGAGCCTGCTGACAACCCAAACAAGGTTCTTAAATGATGTGATTAAGATACTATTTCTTAGAGACAGTTGCACCAGACAAGATTAAGATATTATTTCCCCACACCTGATAGACCAAACAAAATATTAGTTTCCCGCACCTGATATACAAGACAAGATTCAAATATCATACCCTCTATTCTAAATTTTCATATGAGAATAAGCAATTCGCTAATCTTAATAGTGTGATATTTGAGGTATGGCTGAGCAATGCCTTCTATCAGTTTGAGCGAAATGCTAACATCCATTGGTCAGACAATGCCTAATGATGGGAAGAGTCACGGACACGTAAAACCTGTAACCTATCAAACAACATGTTGAAACTCTCCTTTCCAAAGTGTGATATCTTACTTTTAAGATTTACATACTTTCTATCCTGTTGTATGATATAAAGAAATAAAAAAAAAACCTCAAAGTCTTTGTAAATCTTTAAATGAGGGCATGAATTAGGAAAAACTATTCCAGTATAAACAGAGTTTACCTTTCCACTTTGTAAATAGCCGATAGATACTTACCTCATCTGAACCTTTGCGGCGCAAACCAAGAGTAATGGGAATAACACTCTTTTCTAAAGAGAGGTCTATTTCCATGGTGGAAAACTGCTCGGCAAGAGAAATGGGCACTAAATCTTCAACTTTAGTACCCTGAAATGATATATAATGAATAATAATATTCTTGACCAAACTCGTTCGGATTTTTATCTATCAAATCTACTTTCGTACAAAAGCTCTCAACATTTATGACACAGAAATGAATTTATCGTAGTCACGTGTTTGTAAACAGTGCCATTTGTGTCCGGTATCACTCAATCAGAGATTTATTTTTAACAGTGATTATCTTCTACTCACCTCTGGAATAAAACTGAAGTGAGTCTCACTTGGATCACTAGAAAAATCGTGGATTTTACTCCAGTTGTTGTTGAACTGACTCATCCCTGCTGATTTAAATTGTCCTGTAAGGGCAATTACATATTCCTTTTAATTTCATTCTTTTTCACAATTCCCGATTTCTGTAAACATATGGTTCTGGATAAAGACAAACTCTATCTCACATACTTCATAGGGTGGTATTGTGGTTGCTAGGGGTGGGATAACTCTAACATACTTCACAGGGCTGTACTGTGGTTGCTAGGGGTGGGATAACTCTAACATACTTCACAAGGCGGTACTGTGGTTGCTAGGGGTGGGATAACTCTAACATACTTCACAGGGCGGTACTGTGGTTGCTAGGGGTGGGATAACTCTATCTCACATACTTCACAGGATAATCCTGTGGTTGCTAGGGGTGGAATAACTCTATCTCACATACTTCACAGGGTGGTACTGTGGTTGCTAGGGGTGACATAACTCTATCTCACATACTTCACAGACTGACCCTGTGGTTGCTAGGGGTGGAATAACTCTATCTCACATACTTCACAGGATGGTACTGTGGTTGCTAGGGGTGGAATAACTCTATCTCAAATATGGAAAGCTGGCATGCATGCTAGTGTTACCATGACAATATATTTTAACACATATTTCATGGGATATTGTTAATGTGGCAATAAAAAGGTTTCAAAACAACTAATGATTAACTGATTTTTTATTTCTCAATGTAAGGAAAATAAATAAACATGGGTCTGTTTAATGGATGTGGATATCTTAACCCTGGTGAAAGAGGTTGATTAAAACTAACATTTGTGTCAAGATATACCAGTACGTGGAACAACCTAAACTTGATTCTACTACACATCAATATCTCTCTTTTAGCTCAGTGTTAGTTGATTATCAATACCTACCCTCTAGTTCTAGGTAAAAACAAGCTTATCATCAATACCTACCCTCTAATTCTGGGTAGGAGTATGTAAAACAAGCAAACTTCATGCCCGAGGAGTCTTCAATGACAGGTTGTGTTGTACAGAACAGGAATGCCTCTATCTTACTACAGTCGCGTGTACGGAATTGCTGACAAGCAAGTGCTATCTTCAAGTTCTTACAATCTCTTATAAATACACTGAAAATGAAAATGTATTTTATGATAAAATGATAGAAAAAAAAACACACAAACAAAAAATTAAAAGGTTTCCAACAAAATTATGTCCTCCATTAAATTCAATGATGCATGTACATTGTTTATCAACATGTACATTAAATAATGCTAATTTGAATTCGAGAAGGAAATAATCCGAAAATTGTAGGGAACTGTCAATCAAGGAACTATCAATTGAGGAACTGTCAACAGGGAACTATCAATTAAGGAACTATTGATCAAGGAACTATCAATCAGAGAATTGTCATTCAGAGAACTATCATTTAAGGAACTGTCAATCTGGGAACTATCAATCAGAGAACTGTCAATCAGGGAACTAATAGTTAAGGGAACTGTCAATCAGGGAACTGTCAATCAGGGAACTATCAATCTGGGAACTATCAATCAGAGAACTGTCAATCAGGGAACTATTAATCAAGGAACTGTAAACAGGGAACTATCAATTTAGGGACTATAAACAGGGAACTATCATTTAAGGAACTGTCAATCTGGGAACTATCAATCAGAGAACTGTCAATCAGGGAACTAATAATTAAAGGAACTGTCAATCAAGGAACTATTAATCAGGGAACTGTAAACAGGGAACTATCAATTTAGGGACTGGCAATCAGGGAACTATCAATAAAGGAACTGTCAATCAGGAACTATCAATTTAGGGACTGTAAACAGGGAACTATCAATTAAGGAACTGTCAACAGGGAACTATCAATTAAGGAACTGTCAACAGGGAACTATCAATAAAGGAACTGTAAATCAGGGAACTATCAATCAGAGAACTGTAAATCAGGGAACTATCAATCAGAGAACTATCAATCAGGGAACTATCAATCAGGGAACTATCAATAAAGGAACTATCAATCAGAGAACTGTCCATTCCTGGTTAGTTCTTCAATATTAAAATATTTAAGCAGTTTCACATCAAAAATTTAAACTACTTAATTTGCTGTGTAGGTATATACTTTCCATGCCATACACTTTAATTGACACTGTAAGTGAGTAGCAAAAATGTGAAAATATTGCAAACCTTTGGAAATATCTGCACTCTACAGTGACATCATCATTTATTTAAGAATAATTTATTACACATTTAATAAACAGGAATGAAATCAGGTATAAAGCTTGATCGTGTGTACACATCGTACTGCACTACTGAGCAGATAACATTACCTTGATAAATCAATAATTATCCAATTTTCCTATGTGATCAAATGCCATTAAAACAGGTTGCATAACTGAAAAGGTATCTGTCGCTTTTAACAGAAAAAAAACCCACACATAACCAAACTGTAAAGCTTGGCTGCTTGCTACAGAAATCTAGTTCCATGTAATGTTATGTACAATAAAAGATTAAACAGTCTGGATCCATGTCTATACAAATAAATAGGGAGGCTTCTCATTTCATATCACATACATGTTATGAGTATGACTGAATGACTGCATGTATTTTTCATGAGCACAAAGCAGAGAAAATTATGGACAAAATATTCTTTTCATCACGTTTTTAAAGGAAAAAACAAAAAAAGACATTTCAAACATGAAATACACAAGTCCAGTGTTCAAAATAGTTCCTGAAATATATATCAGAGCATTCATTGGTTTCATGTTATTTTTGAAAAGAAGGTGAAGCCATTTCATAGAGACTATTTTACATGATTTCTGTCATTACATATAGACTGTTTTACATGATTTCTGCCATTACATATAGACTGTTTTACATGATTTCTGCCATTACATATAGACTGTTTTACAACATTTCTGCCATTACATATAGACTGTTTTACATGATTTCTGTCATTACCTATAGACTGTTTTACATGATTTCTGCCATTACATATAGACTGTTTTACATGATTTCTGCCATTACATATAGACTGTTTTACGTGATTTCTACCATTACATCGACTGTTTTACATGATTTCTGTCATTACATATAGACTGTTTTACATGATTTCTGTCATTACCTATAGACTGTTTTACAACATTTCTGCCATTACATATAGACTGTTTTACGTGATTTCTGCCATTACATATAGACTGTTTTACATGATTTCTGCCATTATATATAGACTGTTTTACATGATTTCTGCCATTATATATAGACTGTTTTACATGATTTCTGCCATTACATATAGACTGTTTTACATGATTTCTGTCATTACATATCGACTGTTTTACATGATTTCTGCCATTACATAGAGACTGTTTTACATGATTTCTGCCATTACATATAGACTGTTTTACATGATTTCTGCCATTACATATAGACTGTTTTACATGATTTCTGCCATTACATATAGACTGTTTTACATGATTTCTGCCATTACATATAGACTGTTTTACATGATTTCTGCCATTACATATAGACTGTTTTACATGATTTCTGCCATTACATAGAGACTGTTTTACATGATTTCTGTCATTACATATAGACTGTTTTACATGATTTCTGCCATTACATAAAGACTGTTTTACATGATTTCTGTCGTTACATATAGACTGTTTTACATGATTTCTGTCGTTACATATAGACTGTTTTACATGATTTCTGCTGTTACATAGAGACTGTTTTACATGATTTCTGTCATTACATATAGACTGTTTTACATGATTTCTGTCATTACATATAGACTGTTTTACATGATTTCTGTCATTACATATAGACTGTTTTACAGGATTTCTGTCATTACATATCGACTGTTTTACATGATTTCTGTCATTACATAGAGACTGTTTTACATGATTTCTGTCATTACATATAGACTGTTTTACATGATTTCTGTCATTACATATAGACTGTTTTACATGATTTCTGTCATTACATATAAACTGTTTTACATGATTTCTGTCATTACATATAGACTGTTTTACATGATTTCTGTCATTACATATAGACTGTTTTACATGATTTCTGCCAAAGAATCTATTACAGAACTGTTTTTTTCATGCAAAATAAAAAAAAAAAAAAACCACATGAAAAATCAACTTATATTCAGTCACCACTTTGTTTTCCTCCAAACAGGAAAATAGGTAAATATCAATGCAGTTAAGAAAACACTGGCTCTAACTGGTAAAATTTTAAAAAGTAATATGGTCACTGAAAAAGTTAAGTTATCAATGACGATTATTTATGATTGATATAGATTTAAAAAGTAAAGGGAATCTTTGACCCATAGAAACATTATATAAAGTTTATCAATTTTGTCAATATTACATTTTACATATCAGTGAATTTATCTAATACTTTCTGCGTTTAATCAAAAGTTTTATGTTAAAAGGCCCATTTAGTAATGGGAAAGGAGGAACTTACCTTTCTGAGATGGGTCCCATGAAAATATTACAATTTACACAATCATCTATTGTTACTGTTGATGAATTGTCATATATGTAGATATTACAATTCTGAAAAAAAAATTAAAAAATCATTAATTTTTTTAAGTGAATGATTTATCTTTAATCATCTTATCAATTAATTTGATTTAATTAATAATTTTACAGGTTGGTTGATTGTTGGTTAATAGTTCTTCTGTCTCAGTGACTCCTCCCAATTCCGAGCATCAACTCACTGACAAACCTCAAGTGCTCTGATGACATGAGATGGCGACCTGCATCCTCCTCAAAGGGTTGGAACCGTCTGTCACTGTGTGTGTTGGATTATGCTAGTTTAAGAAGATGACTCTGGGTCCTGATAATACCTTATCCTAACTCTGGCAATCGGAAACATGTCCAGAAGTGGACGTGAAGGATTAGGGGCCTACATAGATTTGGTTTAGGTTAGGGTAATTTTGAAATCAGTCAAATGCCTTTAAGAAAAATTGTATGGCCTAACATTATCCCTTACCCCTCGAATGATGCTATCATGTCCGTTCTTTTTTAAAAAGCCACAGAGCGATCCTTAGCATGTGAGTACATGTGAACAGTCTCCACAGAGGAATCTTACAGATAAACTAGGCATTTAACATTCATCATCTTCTTAATATTTCTTCATCTTTATCTAATCTTTTCCTTTTCAATAACAGTTGAAAAAATCATCACAATTATTTTGAAATGATTCCCAAATACACAATCATATACCACTATAGGCTCATTAATAAAATCAGTTCATCAACACGTTTCTGAAAGAAAAGATACCTACTTCACAATTCTGTATTATGAACATATTTCCGTTGACCTGTCCTGGAGTTCTACCAAGCGTTGCGTCCTTGTGCCCATCAAGCGTGTAATCCTGTACATTCACCTTTTCACGCCGTTCCCTGCAAACATATTTATAGACAATTTAAATATTTTTCATCATTAATTGAATATTTCTGATCAGTCATAAAGTATTATGATTATTGCAGTTTTGCTATGAAGACCACAAATGGCAAAGTCCGTAGAACTTCAATATTTAAAAGCTGTCAGAACCGTCGGAAAATTTTGACTTATCTAGTGTCTCATTTGACTTAAGTGAGATGGAACTCTTGGTAAAAAGTTTGACCAGGACATACAAAATACTTCAGGAAAAATGTTGTCTTCAAATTATATGTATTAGAGAGAATGACCATTTGACGGTATATCAGACAGTTTTGTTTCTTATGAGAGGAGAAAGATGAAAAAATTTTGAGAGGAATTGGGAAGGTGAAGACGAAGAAGGAAAAAATACACTGATAACGTCCAGTTTACTTGTTTACATGGTCGTTAATAATCTTACGTAGCATTAAATTATTCAAGATTAAAAGCCTTAAAATTCCTGTCCCCTACCTCTTTGTAAGGATGTATCCCCCTTTTGTACAAAATTCTGAAATTTCAAAGATTACGTTTGGGTGTGTGATTTGCTGATAAAGCAGGTGTAAGGTGAAAGTCAAATTTAATTCACCTTAACACTGACAACTTTGGATATACAAGAACCGAAAATTTCCCTATACCACTTATATTTCGAGGTATATTGTGTTTGTATATATATATATATACTAGATAAATTGACTTAATGATTATTAAATAGCCACAAAAGATTTAGGTATCCAAAGCCAACAACAATACATGTATGTTGTTATGAAAAGCATATGGCTTAATATATACAAATATAGTTTAACTTGTCATTGATTCAAGTGATTTCCAGCGACTACCTTTAGTACAACACTGACATCTTCATGTTGACTTACTCTGTCAGCGTATTCAAACTTAATATTAGTAACATAATCTTAATATCATTTATAGTCCTTATCAATATACTTTCACTTCGTGTACAATATCTGTAACATCTAAAGCCTTTAAAATTCATTCTAAAATAATGGTTATGCAACACATTTTTCAATTAGAATTTTTTTTTTTTTATCAAATCCCCAATATCTACTCATGAACTCTGATGCTGGCTAGCCCAAAGATGGCTGCCATCTTTTCTGCCAAAGCAGATGATCTACAACAACATTGGGGAAATTTCGTTATCATAACGACATGCTAAAATGTGTCCTCAAAATATGAGTGGATAGTATGATAACGATAATCTTTGTGACATACTGCGTTTCACTTTTCTCCACTATTAGGCGAGTTTGACGAAAATGTCAAAATATTCTCAATCCAGGGAATAACTTTCGTGAACAATATCACAACATAATAAAATCATATCATGTCACATTGTCTCCTTCCGTTACTGAATAATTCTATAGAGAATGATACAAAAATCCCAAACCACACTTGGCAGAAATTTACTGACAACTTTGGATGATCTCTTGTTGATGACTCTCCGAAATGCAAATTACTTTATTGATTTACTTTGGTAAATAAATAACTAAATAACGTTTAGAGACAGACAAGGCAGATATATGTGGAATTAATATTAGCAATAATTTAGACATATTGTCCACGTAATGAAACATTCTAAGCCTTTCAAATATTTCGAATTATATCCCGACCCAAAACTATCAACAACTTGGCTGGAAAGTGGGCAGAGCTTCTATAATGTCATTAATGGTTGAAAGGGGCATTTTCATTGGCTAAGAACCAAGACAAATTTTAGGTAGGTACATGTAGAATTAATATTTGCAATAATTTAGACAGATAGTCCATGCAAATAAACATCTTAAGCCTTTTTAAATATTTCAAATTACATCCGGACCCAAATCTATCAAAACTTGACTGGAAAGTGTGCGGAGCTTCTGTAACGTCATCAACGGTTGAAAGGGGCATTTTCATTGGCTAAGAACATGCGAGGGACTGTTTCAAACAAAACTGTACAGTTCTTAATTTTTGTTGAACTGCGTTGACACTGCCATTATAACATCACTTTGAGACTCAAAATATTTTTGAATGAGGATAGCATGTTTATTTTCATGCATAAATTTTTTCATGTTTAAACCAAAATTCATGATCTAATCTCCAGTATATGTATATATTTGTAAAAGATTAATGAGAGATCGTGATATATATCTAAAGAGGAAAGCACTTTTCATTTGTAGATATCTAATAACTATTCAGGATCAATAAAAGGGAATATTAATCATGAAATATTATCTATAGAGGCGTATAAAAGATAGCTTACCCTGAATGTTTACCACCACTATAACAGGGAATTATGGTCTTAAAACACAACATTTCCATAAAACAGTCCAGATCTTGAGAAATGTGGGAGGAATTCGTTGTCATCCACTAATCATGCTTAAATGATTGTAAACAAATCGTTAACAATCCAAGGAAATAACCTTCTCCCATCCACCGGAGTTTATATTTTTTTTTGTTCCTGGTAAAGTGTTCTGAAATCCCATCTCTTTCCGATAGGAAACTTGTTGTAACAATTCCCTGGTCATTTCCAATACTGTATGAAGTTAATTGTCCAGCATTCTCAACCAATCACAGCTAGTTGCTTTGATTGGTCAGAAATATCCAACATCATATACATAATCTAGAGTAGAGCTGTATACTCCAATCTGGATACAAATTAGGCCTACACTATAATGGGCAAGTTCATTCCTTATTGGAGAAAGGTATCTACAACTGATTCATACAGCAATGAACATTACTTGTTCATGCGAAACCAAAAATATTTGCTTACAGTATTATAATATCACAGTACAAATAAAGAAAAACTCAAGTGACACAAACAGAAAATATCTTCTTTTTCATCTAGTTCTTCCAAGCGTGAAACTAAATGTCGTAGTTTAGTCATAACAGGTCATAAGTGGTGCTTGAAATATGATTTTTAAATGACTATACATGTATTTCAATAAGTGGTAAACAATCAGACTCAATTATATAACATTACTGGAGAAGAGATTGAATGTTGAACATAACAGGTAAAGATTGAACAATCCTAAATAGAAAAGATTTACAATGTTTATTCAATCATGTCAACAATTGTTTTGGCAGTACTACAATATCTCAAAACACCTGATAATATTGATAAATTTAAAACATTCAATAATAACGTCATTTTGGAGTGATTTTTCATAAGAACACTGAATTCCGGTATACAGGTCAAAATTTATCTGATAATCTTAAGAAATTTGTAGTTTTTGAAAGAAAATTTATGATAATAAGGTGATAGAGTTTAAGAGAAAGTACTTGTACATGTAGTCTATACACTACAATCATTCTTATGGTAACCAAAACACTACATCAACATCAACTGGCCTGGTCTGTACTAAAATCCATAAAACTAGGAACAGGTCCTAAATCCTAGACCTGCATGTCTGCAGTCCATCTTTTTCGAAACATTATCTCCGTCCTCATATTAAAATCAGCCACTTCAGGAATTAAAACTCAGGTAAACACATTATTCCATGTATAACTTGAAAGCACACTAGCCTGTAGCTGTTGTTAATGTAGAGATGATGATATTAAGATGGCGTAATGCCTCTATGGCCACCATCTACACTAATAGCTAGACCATATAAAAGATATATATATTAAAGGCAAAAGGGTTTGGTGATAAAAAAAACACTGGTATCAGTCATTGATTCACCAACTTGATTGATTGGGAATGTAATTTACTCTCTGTGTGACCTTTCAATATCACCCTGGTATGTAAAATATCCATTTTCACTGAGAATCAATAACACTGAACGTGTTTCTTGTGGTCAATGTGGCCTGGAAATTATAATGGCTTCTTTTCAAGAGAGGTGCTATCAGGTAAAATGCATCAGAAGATAATTAGTTTCTGTCATCCAAGGCGCAGAGATAAACACAGATTTAATTTCTGGATGTCAGATAAATGTATGATTCTTATGGAGGATATATTTACATCATTTCAACCCAACACAAACTGGTTGAGAACACCCATCACAATTGTCAGGCTGTGCTATTTTTCACTAAGTATCAACATAGCGATTTCACAACCACTGCCTAGAGAAGTAAACATCCATTTAAATCCAGTTTTAATAATTCATAATCAACAGCAATTATGAAAGCACTCTATAAAAATTTCCCACAGGCACAGACGAAACATGGTGTCACATATACCAACAACTATACTTTAACAGCCACCATCGTTACAGGCGAGACATCAATAAATAAATAGGTAGCAGAGGTATCGAGACATTCAAGCATGTGATTCAGGTGTGTGTATAATGTATTGATCTAGTTTTGTTTGGAATCCAACTCGAAGAAAGACTTTTACAGCATAAAAGCAATGAGCATTCAGCTTGAAATCTACATGAATGAACACTTATTTTCATACATATATTTCTGAAAACATTATTAAATGCACAGAATTTTTTTATACAAGTGGAGATACTATCTCAAGATAATTACAGTTACAGTAATGCTACTTTAAGATAATTACTGTTACAGTAATGCTATTTTAAGATAATTACAGTTACAGTAATGCTATTCTAAGATAATTACAGTTACAGTAATGTTATTTTAAGATAATTACTGTTACAGTAATGTTATTTTAAGATAATTACAGTTACAGTAATGTTATTTTAAGTAATTACTGTTACAGTAATGTTATTCTAAGATAATTACAGTTACAGTAATGTTATTTTAAGATAATTACAGTTACAGTAATGTTATTCTAAGATAATTACAGTTACAGTAGTGCTATTTTAAGATAATTACTGTTACAGTAATGTTATTTTAAGATAATTACAGTTACAGTAATGCTATTCTAAGATAATTACTGTTACAGTAGTGCTATTTTAAGATAATTACTGTTACAGTAATGTTATTTTAATAATTACAGTTACAGTAATGTTATTTTAAGATAATTACTGTTACAGTAATGCTATTCAAGATAATTACTGTTACAGTAATGCTATTCTAAGATAATTACAGTTAC